ATTAAAATAAAACTGCTGTAATTTCAACATGTTTTTAGAAGTCATAAACCTTTTTCTCGTGTGAAAATCTTATTCTTTTCCCCAGTTCTTTGTTTTTTTTTTTTTTTTTAGACAGAGCTTGCTGTCTGTTGCCCCATGTGTAGAGTGCCATGTTGGTTTTTTCATCATCATAGCTCACGTCATATCTTGCAAATTCTTCTGGCTCACAGTGATCTTCCTGTTCAGCTCTCTCAGTAGCTGGCGACTGATAGGCATGGCCCACCATGCCCAGGTAATTTTCTGGTTTTGTATAGTAGAGGTTGCGCTCTTGCTCGAGCCTAAGTTTCCTAAACTCAAGTGATCCTCCCACCTCAGCTCCCCAACGTGCTATGATACAGGTGTGAGCCACCTCACCCAAATTTTTTAAGAAAACTAGAAACAATGTTCAGAATCTCTTCTACTAGAAATTTGCATTATTCATTCTGTAAAAATGTTTAGGATGTTCACTGCAATATTGTCTACAACTAAAAACTCATCAGTAGAGCTGATCAAGCCATGGTATTTTGACACTACAGATACTGTACAGCTATTAAAATGGTGTTTAGGCCGGGCCGAGTGGCTCACGCCTATAACCTAGCACTCTGGAGCCGAGGCAGGTGGATTGCTCAAGGTCGGGAGTTCGAAACCAGCCTGAGCGTAGACCCTGTCTCTACTAAAAATAGAAAGAAATTAATTGACCAACTAAAGTATATATACAAAAAATTAGCCGGGCATGGTGTGCATCCCTATAGTCCCAGCTACTCGGAGGCTGAGGCAGGAGGATCGCTTGAGCCCAGGAGTTTGAGGTTGCTGTGAGCTAGGCTGACGCGCACGGCACTCACTTCGCTGGGCAACAAAAGTGAGACTCTGTCTCAAAAAAAAAAAAAAAAAAAATGGTGTTTAGAGCAGTCTGTGCTAACATGGAGAGCAAATCTAAGATCAAATGTTAAGAGAGAAAGCAAACTTCCGAGCAATTGTATATATAATTCCATTCTTCTTTCTTTTTTTTTTAAAGAGAAGAGATTTCGTTCTGTCACTCAGGCTGGGAGTATGGGCTCGAGCAATCCGCCCGCCTCGGCCTCCCAGAGAGCTAGGATTACAGGCGTGAGCCACCGCGCCCGGCAAAAAATTTTTAAAAATTAGCCTGCTATGCACCTATAGGTCCTAGCTACTCCAGAGGCTGAGGCAGGAGGATTGTTGGAGCCCAGGAGTTTAAAGTTACAATGAGCTATCAGAGCACCATTGCACTCCAGCCTAGGTGACAGAGTGAGACCCTTTTCTAAAAATATATAAATAAAAATAAAAAAACACTGATACAGGCTGCAGTGATCTATGATGATGCCACTGCACTCCAGCGCTCCAGCCTGGGTGACAGAGTGAGACCCCATCTCAAAAACAAAACACTGTTATATAGAGGAAAAAATTAAATCAGTATTTTATGGACTCTGGGTTTTGTGTCATTTATGCCATCCCCATTCTGAGATCTTTAAAAATATACATATTTAAAATCTAGTCTTCCCTTTTTTTGTTATTTTTATTTTTTTCCTTAAAAATAGAGATATAGACCATTTTATTGTTTTTCTAATATTTTAACAGTTGTTTCTTTTGTGCTTGAATGTGTTATCTGTCTGGAATTTGGGTGTATGAAGTGAGACAAGATGGATAATATATATTTAATGATAATATTTGCCCTCAAATTTTCCTTTTATGTTATTTTAAGAGGTTGTTTGTTTGTTTTTAAAACAGGGCCTCACTCTGTTGCCCAGGCTGCTGGAGTGTAGTAGAACCATCATAGCCCACTGTTAACCTCCAACTACTGGGTTCCAGTGATCCTCCCATCTCAGCCTCCAAGTAGCTAGGACTACAGGACACCATGCCCAGCTAATTTTTTATTTTTTGTAGAGATGAAGTCTCACTATGTTGCTCAGGCTGGTCTCAAACTCTTAGACCCAAGCAATCCTCATACACTGGCCTCCTATAGTGCTGTGATTACAGAGATGAGCCACAGTGCCTGGCAAATTATAATAAATAAATTTATTGATTAAAAATCATTTTAGGCCGGGCGCTG